GGGGGGGAGGGGATTTAGTGGCTTACAAAGGAATAATAAACGAACTACCCCAAAAGTAACTGTGCTATTCATGATCAACATTCTCACTATATTCACAGCTTAGAAGCCATTGACCCAGATGCATATAAGGCCTTCCAGGCATCAAATGATTTGAAAGATGTGATCAAGAGATGTTTGGACAAAAGATCTGGGGATGGTCATCATGGAGTACCATCCATGAAGAAGAAACTTAGCATTCGTGCCTCTGTGATGACACCCATCAAACCTATGCTGGTAATTAGAATATATATATATATATATATATATACTGTAACAGTTATAGAGAGGTTAGACTGAACTGTCTTGTTTCTTGAGGGGTGGAGAATGTATGTACTAATGTACTGAACCATCTTGGCATCCCTCCTCTTCCTACCACACCCATCCCTGCTCCCCCTGCACATTAAGCTAGAAATAATAAATAAAAGGTATCTTGCTGTCATACTAATCTATTGTTTTGCAACTTTAGGCTGAAGCTTGCAAGTCATTTTCTCAAGCAATCAAGAAGAGCCCAGGAGGAATGTATGCTGAAATCAAGTATGATGGAGAGAGAGTTCAGGTGGAGTATAGTCTGTGTACAGCCACATCTCACCCCTCTCTCCCTTCCCTTCATGTGGACTTCTAATAAAAAAGCTGTATTTTGATGTTTTCATTTTTCATATCATGTATTGAATAATTTCTCTCAGGTCCATAAGAGTGGTAATGAGTTTGAATTCTTCAGTCGTAACCTGAAGCCAGTCACTCCTCACAAGGTACAGCAGTACTGTCTTGTAGCATAGTTAAGACAGTCTTTTGACTTTATTTACACAGAGTATACATAATACAAATAATGTACTTGATTTTTTATGACTTTAGGTGGCAGACATAAAGGACTTTCTTCCCAAGTCTTGTCCTCATGGAAATAATTTGATTCTTGACAGTGAGGTGAGACAAATAAACTCCCTTAGAAAGTTAAATGTTGGATTACTAGGTATATATCCCCTATCTTAGTGTTGGCTTTGTTTGGCAATGCAAAATAAGACAAAAATACATGGAAATGCCAGACGTATGATTTGGTATCAAATTAAAACTATTTTTCCATTTTTTAAAGCCTTTTGTCTCTTACATGTAGAAAATTTTCATCTTTTTAGGTTCTCCTTGTTGATAACAAAACTGGCAAGCCCCTTCCTTTTGGAACTCTTGGGATTCACAAGGTCAGTATTCATTATTGTATATAGATGACAATCAAGATCCTCTAGTAAGGATTGTGCAAGATTGTGCATCTATTTACAGTAATTTAGACTGTTTAAAACTGTTGTTGTTGTAACTGTTATTCCATTTATCATTGTTTGTCTGTACTTTTACCAGAAATCAGCTTTCAAAGATGCAAGTGTATGTCTTTTTATATTCGATTGTATTCAGTTCAATGATGAAAATCTTATGAAAAAGTAAGTTATGGATTTGTTATGGACAGTTATGGACGTATACAAAAAACTAGTTATATTTTTGTTCTGGATAATACGTACTGGTCCTGAACAGAGGGGCCTGAAGAAATGGAACAGAAGGTTGCAGGGTGGAGAGTGGGGGGCTTAGAGGAAAAGAAGTTGTGCCCACTGTAATTTTGCGTTATGTTTGTAATTCTTGTTTCATTGAACACTTTTCAAAAACAACTGATAAATCTCTCGTACTATCATCTTAATATGTAATGAATGCCAATCAAAATTATCGAATAATAAAACCATAGATAATTATTTTGTATGGTGGAAGTACACGAAATATTCCACTCAACCCTGGAAAAAAAGGTTTTGGGGAAAAAATAGTGCGCAATCATTATCGTTGCTTCTCTTAACTCTTTTATGAAACAAAACTGAAAGATGCATGTTTATCAAAGATTTTTAACGGAATGTTTTTTAATTTTTACATTTTAATATCATGTTATTAAGGCCTGGCCTTGGCACCGCGTTCCGCATGTGTCGGATCTAATGCAAATGAACTCCAATCGTCGCTCGTTTGCGTTGGATTCGGCGTATGTGGGGCTCGGTGTAAAGGCTGGGTCTAACTAGGAAAATAAATTTTAATGTATATTTATTTTAACATTTGATATAATTCTTAATTATTTTACCATATATTTTTAGTGTTTAATTGTAATTTGTAAAGCGCCATAATTGGACAGAAATGGAAATGGCGCTATATAAGAATAAAGTTATTATATTATTATTATTACATTTTATGAAGAACTGTATTTACGATTCTAGCATTTTCATTTTTGAAGGACCATGCAAGAAAGACGTCAGATTCTGGAAAAGAATGTCACTCCTATCCCAAACAGAATCATGCTCTCTGAAACTACTTTTGTAAAGGTTTGTTTAGCGAAGGGACTTATATTTGACTATTCCATGGATTACGCTATTCAAGTTTTAAAGAATGTGTTGCATACATTTTGTCGGTTCAATGTAAACTGGGCAATCAATGGAAAACTGTTCTCCACTCTTTAGACTGAGAAGGAGTTGTCCAAACTGATGGCCAGAGCTATGAGAGAAGGGCTTGAAGGTCTTGTTCTCAAGGACCTCAAGGTATGATATGTCAATGATATGAGCCGCTTAGTATTTTAGTTATAATGGATAGTAGCATCCGCGTATATGGTAGAGGAACTTGTGGTCATGCTCGTTATGATAGTAGCGGTAACGATGACGGCAATGTCGACGAAGATGATGATGGTGGTGGTGAAGACCACGATAGAGCAGTTTTCGTATGACTGTGAAAAGTTCAGTGCCGTAAGCGCGCCGTGCCGTGACCGTCATGTTTTCTAGTATATTAATTGGCTGATTTTTTTCTCGCGCAATGTGATTAGCCTGTCAGTGACTTGACCTTGGTGTGACTGCTTCTACGCCGTGTTCCAGTATTTGATTGGATGGAGAGTAAATTCTCGAGCAATGTGATTAGTCTGGCGTATCCCTTGTAGTGGCACGACCGTGTGCGTGCTGTGAGCTTTTCACAGTCATACGAAAACTGCTCTAATGATGATGGTGGTGGTGATGATGGTGGTGGTGGTGGTGGTGGTGACGAGTGCGATGATGATGATTATTTCAGTACAATTATTATAATATTACATATTACATCATCTGCGCTGCATTTGCTTGTTATAGGGATTTTACGAACCTGGGAAACGGCACTGGTTAAAGGTAAGTCAAGATAACAAAAATAAACGAAATGCTTATGCCTTCCGTACACCTCAAACATTTTTATCGTGATTATTTTTAGATGAAGAAGGATTACTTAGAAGAAGGTGCCATGGCAGATACCGCTGACCTGGTTGTTCTAGGCGCGTACTATGGCACAGGAAACAAAGGTATTCCCATTGAAATAAAACCTTTATGAGACGCCTTTATAAGGTGGTTCTGTAAGTGATGTTCAAAAATAGCTCTCATTTACTGCCTTCAAAAGCGATTTGAATGCGGCTTATTGCTGTTGCATATGGCTTGTTTCCCTCATCACTTTTCGTATTTCACACCAGTGTTTGTCGCTTTGCAAAATACTTGACACTCGTTGTTATTCCCAGGTGGGCTCATGTCAATATTCCTGATGGGAGTATACAACCCTCGCACCAAGATGTGGTGTACGGTAGTCAAATGTGGCAATGGCCATGATGATAAAGCAATCGAGAGGTTGAATAGAGAACTAAAGATGAAAAAAATAAGCAAGGTAGGTTACCAGAAACCTCGTTCTTATTCTTAGAAAATATGTCATAGCTTTGCAGCATTTTAGAGCGAGTGAGCGAGTCAAAAACCATGGAATTGAGAAGCTTGACGACTGGTATGTTGTTAAGGTGGGTGAAGGGTTGAGGAGAGTGTGAGTGGGTTTGGAGGTGATGTGTCTGACGTTAAAGGGGGTCCGATTACTAAACCATGTTATAACTTAACTTAACAGGCCATGTTTTAATTACTTGCTCATGCTATGAGGATTTCCTCAATGATCTAATATAGGACCCTAACAGAGTTCCAACTTGGCTTGATATACACAGAAGCATCATTCCTGACTTTGTTGTAGATGACCCCAAGGTAATATTCATCAGTCAATCGTGAATTAGGCACTTATTCATTCAAGCTAAGCCTACTATGCTAGATACGAAAACACGATCCTACAGTGCATTTCACATAATCTTTGACGAGTGGTTTCCGAATTATCTCGTCTATTGAATAATTCAGAAATACCTTGATTTTAAACAGAAAGCACCAGTATGGGAAATAACAGGAGCAGAATTCAGTAAGTCAACGAAACATACAGCTAATGGAATATCAATACGATTCCCGAGGGTGACTCGAGTAAGGGACGACAAGGATTGGGAGACGGCTACTGACCTCGACCATTTAGCGGTATGTCTTCTTCATATTATTGTTTCTATTTGTTTTTCTGCGTTCTTGCTGCGAGTCTCTCTTCTTAGTTTTTTCTCTGTCCAATCTTTTCCCTTTTTCTTTAGTATTTTTTACACATTTGTTTCTTTTTTCTTTTCTTTAGCTAACATTTTCCGCCGTCTTGCCGCTTATCTTTTTTGCTTTACTGATTTGCCACTTTTGTCTCGTTTCTCTTTGCTGTAGACGCTGTTCAAAAACTCCCKCGGATTCACGGGTAACTATATTTGGGATTTAAATATTTCTCAAAGTTTCTTGATCTCAAAATAAACAAAAATAAACTACAATAAATGGGTAAAGGTAGACGGTTTAGTTTGCTACTGTAGATGGTAATTTCCCATAAGGAACTCGCATTTTCCCCTTAAGCTCATGTCATCTTTTTACTAAAATGGACTCTTTTTGTCGAATTTTTCTTCAAGACACATCCAAAATCATGGAAGATGACAAGGAAGACAGCGACGAAGAAACTGCTTCAACAAGTAAAGATGTAAATATGGATGACGACGAAGATGACAAGGCCAAGAGCCTTGGAAAAGGGAAAAGGAAAGCTGATTTGAATAATGACGAGGAAATCGTGAAAAAAGTAAGCACTTTTGGACAACACTAGTCTGATGCGCGCGCGTGACAAAATTCCAGTTTCCGAGCTCGAGGGTTTTTGTCTGTGTTCTCTGGTTTTCTTCCTCACTTCGTAAAAAACTAAGCTTTCTTGCTCTCTGGCGCAGAGTTCGGCTAATGAGCAAAATAACAATACATTTTTATTTGCTGTCTAAGAACAGTATTTTATATTCTTGCGGTATCATTCTAGAAACAAATATGCAAATATGGATCCAGTTGTTACCAGACAAATCCTGAGCACCTGAAAAAATATTTTCATTCTGTGGTGAGTAGATTTTTATTGCCGCTAGTTATAACGTCGCTGATGAGTTCAGCTTTTGTAATGACTGTATCTTTGTGTGTAACTGGATGTAACTTAGTTATTTTTTGGAAAAATAGGCAAAGACTGCAGAGCCTGGTGATCAAACAGGAAATTCCTCAAAGGTAAATTTGTCAGTACTCATTCGCTTCCCAATTCTCTTTGTTGAACCTATTTTCACATGAACTTCTTCTTTCTTACAGGGGTTACYATCTGTGTTCAGTGGATTACAGATTTTCGTGAACGACGATATGAAGAACGCTAAGAAATTAAAACGCTACATCATTGCGTATCCTTCAATATTGAATTATTATTAAGAATAAATAAAAAATGTATGTTTAATCCTAGGATTACTGTTTATAAGCCGTGTTACGGTGGATCAGTGGCAGCTTGTAGTCTTGTGTTGCCTAATACCACTTCATGCTTACATATGTTATTAACAACTGCAAGCTTTCATCGCTCTGCGATGCTATTGATATTGGCTCACATGCTCTGATTAATAGATCCTTAATAAATGATAGATATGATGGAGACGTTGTTTCAGAAATAAATAAGGAAACGGCTACTCATATAGTGACTAACAAAAAGGTTGGTACACGTGATCTTTAAGGACTACATATCGTGAGGTTTTGTAATTGCAACTCAGCCTTGTGACTTGAAGATCCATGGGTATTCAGTCTTAGCTAGCATCGTAAACTTTACTAACGATATCAGTCCCCACAGGGTAAGGGGTGAGCAGAAGATCCATGCAGTCTATTCTCACATATATAATAGTTCTCGCATTTAAAAATTCACTGAAAAATATGTTTAAAATATTATTTTTTTTGTTCTAACCATGCAGGAAGCATCTGGTAATGGTGCCGTTGCTGTTTCAGCTAACTGGGTGTGGGCATGTATAAAGGACGAAAAACTTGTTCCTGTCAAGAAATACCAACTCTAGTCGTTTGCATACTGGGCTTTCCATGGTCAGCTGTAATAATAATATAAAAAGAAAGGCCACACAAGCACTGGGACCGCGATTCGAGATATAATATGTATTTTTTTTCCAAAATAAGCCCTTGATAAGCTGTCTATAAATAATATACCTGACATAAACAAATCATCTCCCCTCCCTAATACAGCACATATTAAAATGAAATTGGGAGGGAGGCGGGGTATAGGCACTCTCGGACCTCCTCAATCTCGTATCCAGAGCCTTCATTTCTTACTTCACATGCTCGGCAAAATAAAGTAAGGGTACGAGATTCTTGGAGCTTCTCTGAACACGCCCCTGCAACRTAAAATACGTCATTTGATCAATTTATGACTGTTTACCCAAGACTTACATTGCAACAAATATGAATTATTATTTGACACGATAGCTCGTATCTTTTTAGAGTTAATATTCAAGAGGGAACTATTTAGAGATCGCGTTACTTCGAAATCCAATAATCATAGTTGTATTATAATTAAGCTCAGCTTACCTTAAGATATCAAATTTTTTGATTTTTAGCAATAATGTTATCAACTGTCAAAATTTATTGCATGGTTTGTTAAATAATTTACTATTTATGTGCTCTTTAATTGATGTTCAGTCAAATGCGCTGTCGACTATTAAAAATATCATGCGAATACCTGGTTGGTATCAAATACGTAGAGCTTGAATATATTATTTATATTATTTTTAGAATAATTGCACTTGCCAGATTCCACCAACAGCAATTTGGAGAATCTATAATATTTAATAATATTTCGTAGAATTATAAATATATTGTGAATATATACAATAAAATACTGATTCTTTACTAGAATGTTTGTTGTTTGCGTGACAAATTTAGTCTGACGCGCGGCCTGGGTGTCAGTCACGCAATGCAGATTTGGACGCGCGTGCGCGCATTCTGGCGCGCTTTTTCCAGGTTTTCATTTTCAAACCAGGTTTAATTTCGTGCAGAAATGTCAGCATTTGGCCTCGATTTTTCGACAGGAATACTAGGTAAGTGTTTATGATTTTTTACCATTATGTTTCTTAATGTTTTAGTTACGTATCTGGCATCGATTTTGTTGATAAATTCGCTGAACTACATTGTTTTGCCCACCAACTCTCAGAATTTTAAAGTTTAAATAATGATTAATATAAAGCTAGCTATAAGCTTAAGCTTATTTTTCAAGTATCTACGAGTTTCTTATTATATTAAAAAGCTTATATTTCAAGTCTATATGAGTTTCTTACCATCTTATAAAAATCAGATGTATTTGTATATATGTATTCATATATTCTGTAGGAACCAATATTTTAATCTCTATTATTATTAACTATGTTCAGATATGTTATATATCAGTTTATTTGAACAATATCTGCAACAACATTTAAACTTACATAAGCTTACAAGCTTAATATCCATTATTTCATTAATGGCCACTATCTTAATGACTAATTATTTAAAAAACAACCAACAAACAAAAACAGACAAACAAACAAAAACAAACAATAGGCTGAATAATCCATGCCAAATTTTATGAAGTTAAATGGGTCAGTTTATGAGAAGCGTTCTTAAAGAGTCTCATATCAATAATATTAATACAGTCTGACCAAAATGTTTATTATGTCAGCAAAAGTAGCATTTGACAATTATTTGCTGAAGGCAAAGTGATCACTGGTTAATATTCACCAACATGATGAAGTAGAATGGGATACTTACAGATAATCACTGAGCATGCGAATAATAATTATTCGCATTGTTTTAGACTTGAGAAAAGACAAAATTTGGGATTTAATAAAGCATCTTTTTGCTACTTCCTCTTTAGTATTTTTACTTGTGGTAATCACCAATGAATGTCGTTTCATAATCACTTGCTGCTTGACCAATCAGCACACAAAACTCTATATACTCAAGCCTTTCTAATAAATCAAGGAACAATAATATTGTATTGACATTGAGCATGAAATCATTTTATTTTGACGCAGCCTTCGGCCGAGGTGAATAAAACTGCCAGGTGAGGGCTTGATAAGCTCATATGTTTGCTAACTCATATACCGAATCAAAATATGGCGACAATTTGAATAACTATTGTTCTGGAATGACTAGCRACTGACTAGCCTCTCATACATATGCTTTTGTGTTTCCACAAGGCTAGCATGTCAGTCTCTAGACATGAATTCAAATTGATTGCCAGATTATAACAATGAAATAATTATTCTCTATTGGTTAAGAAATGAGAAAATTAGTGAAGATTGTTGGGATCCTGTATTTTATTTATTTATTATTTTTTGATGATTTTACTCTTTCTCCAATAAATAAATCACCTATAAATTATTATTTTTTGAGTAAATAATAATCGTCCTATGAATRAATTTTGTTTAAATGACTATTTTTCAATGTTGCTGTGAAAGCCATAGGTGGTTAAACTTTTAGTAATCCAGGTCTGATGAAACTCGGCTAATCACATCCAATCACAGCTGGGTATATTTTAGACCACACAAATTGCTGGTGATATACATTTTTATTCATCCATCCATCCATATATCCATCCGTCCGTCTGTCCATCCATCCGTCCATCCATCCATCCATCCATGCATTCATTTTCATTTATTTATTTATTCCTTTTTTGTTTAATCCATCCATCCATCCATCCATCCATCCATCCATCCATCCATCCATCCATCCATCCATTCATTCATTCATTGGTTCGTTTAAAAGTTTTTAGTTTTAGAAAAAAGAAATCGAGAATTTAATTTTTTTTATGCACAACATGTTTTTCATTAGTCTGTTTACCCTATCTTTATCGTATATCTATCACTATTATATAATTGCACTTCTGTAAACATTGGTATTTTTTACTCCTTTTTACTTTACCGATATGTATGAACGCCCTCAAAAAGATGTTTTTTATTCACGCTTTTCTGCTCCAAATATATCTTAAACCGTTTTTGTTTTATTATATTTCTTTCATTCTTATCAAGACAACGAATCATACAAAAATACAATAGGTAAATGGGTTAAGGAACGAGTACAAAATTATAAGGAGATAAGACAAGGCTTCCTATAGCTGAAAATGTTAATATTCTTAACTTAATTTAAAATAAAGAAAGTTATTTTAATTTAAAAATTTCATGCAAACCCTTAAAYACAATTTAAAAATCTCATGATTGACGTTTTTTCATTTTAAACTCGAGTGATTCAAGGAATCCAATTCGTCAAGGTACTTCTAAATAACTGTAGCTACCTGTATACTAGGAAATTTATTCTGTAAAAAATAGCCAAAACTCTGTTTCTCGAGAAAATCTCAAATGTTGCTTGTCAAGCCTGAAGAAATAGTGACAAAGGCCTTTAATTGCTTTCATTGTTCGCTTTCCTTTTGACACGGATTTAATTGATCTTGGTGTTATTTTGTACATAACACATACAAACATTGGAAGATCAAGAAATCTTTTAATGACTGCTTTGTTTGTCGTCGGTTGCAAAATTGAATTTCTTAAATAATAATTTTTGCGGCAATTCCCTTTTTTATATATTCAAGAATAGTTTTGTACACGAATATTATTGCTCGTAATAAGTTCGTGTAATTAGCTTAAAAATTATTACACTGCCTGTATATCAGGAGAAATAAGAAATCGGTAGGACAGGAACTAATACCCGAGAAAACTTCGTATTGTAGCCGACTATAATATAAAACACCTGCCGTGTACTTATAACCATATATATATACTTGCCGCCATCGACAAGAAAAAAATAATTAGGTTGCATYGTTTTACTTGGAAATCAGAGCCACTCTTGAACTATATATAAAGGAGCTAAGACCTTTACCATGAGTGAAAATACAGTTGGACTTGAGATCGTAAAGTTTACTTACATGTTACTTGTGCCGTTAAACATAGTCGGTAATTCTCTCGTTTGCATTCTATTTTCCAAGAAGTCAAGTGCTTTAAAGTCAAGCTTTACCAATTCATTGCTCTTGAACCTGGCCATTGCAGATTTATTACTGGGGTTAGTAGTTCTCATCTGCTCCCTACTCGTTCACATTATTGGCTTACCTATCACTGATGTCTATTGCAAAATATCGGGAGGTACTTTGTATCTTACGTGCAGCATATCTGTTTGTACTCTTGCTATAATATCCTTAGAGAGATATATAGCTATTCTCAAGCCTGTTTTTCACCGCAAACAATCAAGAAATCCGAGGCTTGCAAGAGTGATCCGTCTTACTTGGTTGATACTGATCCCTTTTGGTGGTGAGCCCAGTCGTGGTTTTTCTCAAGCAAGTAAAAGTCACTGACATCCAAGTAGACTGTGGATTCCATGATACAGATGATGACATCAATTTTGGGCGGATTTACGACGGTGTCGTTGTTTTATTTCTATTTCTTGTTCCAAATATTTTAATTTGTTGGCTTTATGGGCGAATTATGTTCAGTTTATGGTTTTCGAAGCGGCATACCGATAAAGAGCGTAATGTGGTACTCCAGAGGTCGCGGAAAAAGCTAACTAAGCTAATGCTAACGGTGACACTAGTGTTCACAGTGTCATGGATCCCTTATTACGTGCGTACTGCTTTATCTCTCGTCTTACCTCACACTTACCTGTTCTTCTTAAATGTTGTCGTTTGCCGCATTTTTATCATAATTAACTCTAGTGCCAATCCTGCCATCTATACCTTCCAAAGTCGTCGTTTTCGAAAAGAACTTAAAAAACTCTTTAGTTGCAGAAAAAATTAGTACCCTCTTACCAAGTGTCCTCCTTTAATTATTTTTACTAAACCAAAACTACCCATACTTAGATTATAGAAAAGCGGAAACAAATGTGCAAAGCCATTGGAGACTGAATGATCCTGGTGTTATTCCCGACCAATAGATAAAAATGGGTGTTGAGAGACCACCACTACTATAGTTAAATATGGTAAACCAAGGATATATACTTGAACTAAAATTAAATCTGACTCTGCATCAGTGCTTTCAGTGTCACGCTAAATCGTATAAAGTAGAAAAAGCATGCAATCTCTTCTACCAAAAAATGGAATCACCGGTAAGAAGTATATATTTATAGTGAAAAAGTTCAGTGCCCGCAATTAGACTCCAGTTCTACAGCACTACATACTGTATACATAACTGGCTCCAAAAATAAGCTCAGTCCGCATTTACAAAATGAAATAAACTATTGATAACATCCATACACTATGGTATTATTTTTAAACTACAAGTTTGACTTCATAATGATATTTGTATCCTGGTCGTGTTGCCATGTCCTGAGGATATTCATCTGCTGTAGCATTGTTCAGCTCACATGTGGATAAGTTTGGATAGTAGTTGAAGGTCTGACATGCAGTATATAGCAGGCAATATCGAAAACAAGTCAGACTATCTGACACTTGGTAGAGGCGTTGGAAGACGTGGTTACAGAGAACAAGTGGCTGTGGATTTTCTTGAAACATCCTGCTGGGTTTCTCTGTTCATGAAAAAAAGAAACAATAGGATATCAAAATCTAGATAATAAATTGCACAAGAAATTCGTCTAGGATTAGCTGGCTTACCGTTGCGGTAGTGCTGGACACAATATCTCGCTGACCAGGACAAGGCGAGTTTCTTAAGRTTGTAGACATAGAAGGAGTAACAGTTGCGCCCATAAATGTACGTACTAAAGTGGCAGCAGTTACCGTTGGCATGAAAACAGAGCTTTCTTTTGACAATACCGTCAGCAAGAGTTGGAAAGTTACCCTCCATGTATCCTGTAGCTGTAGCACCGCAACGGTTTTGTGGTAGACACTTGTTTGGAATACGATAATAGCCTCTTGCACCGCGGAACACGTACCAATCATTCTCAGTCAAGTTGGTRTCATCTTGAATGAGGKYTRATGTTAATTTGGTTGATAAACGAGAATCATCGTCAAGATATCGATGGTTGGTGCACACCTCAGAACTATCTGTAACAGGAATGTTGAACTTTTATCAGACTGATTAAAGAGTTGGTCTATCACACTTGAGACTGGAAGAGGAATAACCTTACCTTTAACTTGTAGATGAAGGGTCTTKGTGTTAGAACCAAGAGCATTGGTAGCAGTACAAAGATATATGCCTTGATCAGTCTTGTTGACGTTTAAGAGACTGAGATGAGTGTTGCTAGAACTAGATTGGATAAGTTTTCCTTTGTGTGTCCAGATAACAGTAATAGGCGAATCCCCTACGGGTTTACACTGTAKAGTGACGTCTTGGTGTTCGTATGTAACGATGTTGGRTGAATCAGCTTGATTAGCAAAGACGGGACTACCGAGGGGTCCTACCCGGAGAGAGAAAARGAAGATTTGTTATGATATTTCAGTGACAGTTAGCCAGAACTTAATGGGTTRTAAAGAAATGTTGATACCTTTTCTTCGACCAAGAATCGTCGACCTGAAACAAAGATGACCATCGGATGAAACCCAAGTCTTTGGATGAATTCTTATCCATCGTGCTTCGATATCCCTGTCCAATGTCCTTGTAACATATCCGATATCATTGGTATTTCCTTGAAAAGTCTGGAATGGAACAAAAAGATGATCATGGAGTCTGTCTTAAGAACTACAAAATTATAATAGACAGTTGTATTTTCATGCCTTACTCATAGAAAAATGATTACTGTTACCTTAACCTGCGAAGCAGCATTGTCTTTATAAAATATAAAATTGATGTTGTCAAGGCTATATGACACCTTTAAGAGAAAGTGGAAGGAGATTTATTGTTATTTATTGACAATAGGAAAGTAATGCAAAATATGCCAARTAATATTCTATATTATAGTGTAAGAAATCGCACGACCTCGAATACAATTCGTTATTCTAGGCACGACTGAATGATGTTTTGAATGTTCTTGTAATTGCACTAGCCTTAGGCGAGTCCAGTTTAAAAACGTTCAATACTTTACGAGTACATGTACAGGGCTCGAAATAGCGGCCTGCCAATGGCCAAATGACAGGCCAAATTTCAGGTTTGGCAGGCAAAAATAACGATGCACTGCCAGATGAATAATAAAATGACATGCAAAATTTACTGGAATGACCTCCTTTTACCCTGCTCCTTTACTTTGGCAGGCTGAAAAAAATTTCTATTTCAAGCCCTGATGTACATTAATTACGAATTGTACGAAAAGGTCGTGCGATTTTTCATTGATGGTACACGCGAAAAAATATTCGAAGCGAAGGCACTTAGTTGTCACCAGAATAGTTGTAAAAGTTTTAGTATTATATATAATTATATTTATTACATATTCATTATATATGTTTTGTAGTTAAAAACATAGCTATAAAATTTTATTATGTGGATCCCAAAGCAACTTAATAGGAACTTCTACGTTCAGAATCAGAATCGGGTAATTTTCGTGTGTACTATAAGTAATAATACTGTATTAAAAGTGTCAAAAAAACATATGGATCTTGAATCATGGTAGATTTATTGGTTTTTAAAGACCTTTGTGGTGATTTTGTTTGTGACATTATAGCTGGTGACGAACACGCGATATTCCTATCTTTAAAAAGTAAATGGAATTACCTGGTATCTCGTCACCCATCGGGCAACACCATTTCCTCTTCCTTGCGTGACTATGCCCGTTACGAGCATTACGTGACCAAAGTCAAACATTAGCCAATGGTTTCCACTTTTTGTTTTAGGACACCAAGAGTAAGCGCCTGTTGCAGAATTCAACCTTCCTTTATATGGTTCATGGTCTGAACCATAGAAAGACGAAGCTGTTATCTGGTTATTGGGTATTTCTTTATCTTCTATACCAAGATCTGCAGGAGAGGCTGGGTACCGGAAATAAACAACATTTAGAGATTTCAATGATAAAAGTAGATAAAAAAGTTTAAAAGGGTGTGGTACTTACCTCGACCATACGTGTATACTTCTACCCTCATTGATATGTGTTGATTCCAGGTGACGGGGTTAAATCTGACAAAGCGTACATATATGACAGTCGGTAGGACGTGGCGGACTACAGTTTCGCTATCTGAATTTCCAGTAAATACCTGCGTGTTGACATTTAAATTTAAGACTGTTAATTTTTATGCTGTTAGCCTCGATATTACCGGTCATATACACGAAGTCGAAATATGGCGACCAATTTGAATAAGTATTGTTGTAGACTGACTAGCCTCACGTTTACATGGAAATATAAAAACGTTTTCACAGGTATGAGAGGTAGTCAGTCGCTAGTCACCCCAGAACAATAGATATTTCGATTCGATATATGAGTCAGTTTTAATTTTATATAGAAGGTTTCATAGTTTACGTCACATGGTGGCGTGGATTGACTACTTTTAACGGCCGACGGTCGAAATCAATTCAAACCACGAAATATTATTGCCATTTGTTAAGGAATTAACATTTTGGGCTAGACAATACATTTGAAGTTTTATGTCTGCTCGTTTCCCTTTTTCCAAAATTATTATAACGTGAGTTACGATAGTTTTTGGTTAGAGTGGTTTTTATTAACCCATGAAACAAAGTGTACTAATTAGAGTGAAATAGTTGGATAAACATAACTGAAAACAAAAGAATTAGAGTGTAATAGTTTTAGATAAGCTAAAGTGTATTTCACAGGTTTATGAAAACCACTCTATAGTTTTCCTTTACAACCAACATGATCAAGTGTTGTCAAAAAAAAAGTCCATGAAAGCTCCCACTGTACTAACCTTCCTAACACCTCCTTCCAGGTATTCAGTCCACAAGACTGTATTATTACCATACGACAGGTAATAGCTTGTTACCCACTGATTATACGCATGTCTCCCTTGTGTTGCAATGGCAGTGACAAACTCCATTCTGCTCAGATCTATCTGTAACCACTGATTCGTGYCTAATGTTCTAACCACCCAGGCTTGGCTCGAACCATATTTGGTCCAATGTAAGCGGCCATATGAGCCAGGAAATCCAGTGAAAGTTGTAGAAGCTGTAACAAGGCTGTCTGGTATTTCTCCACTCATCATCCCCAGGGGAAGCGTTGGCTCTGAATTCCAAAAAAAAAGTTTTTAATTCTATTTTCTTTACATAATATCAATGCATTTTAACCTACTTGCTTCGCAGCCGTACAATTCGGTTCTGATGCACACGTGACTAAACCAAGTCTCTGGGATTATTTGGACATAACGAGCAGCGGTGATCGTCTGTAAAGTCTGGATTGTGACCTCTCCACTGTTGAAGTTCCCTGGGAACTAGACATCACAACTCATTAGCATTAGTTTATGAAAATTCTTTACGATGTAAAAAGATATACTGCGTTCGACTCCCTCTCTCCAGACTCGGTTTCAAGGCCTGGTTCAAATCTAGATCGATTGCTTGGTTTGATTCTTAGCTTTGATGTGGTGTTTTTATTTGAGCTGGACCCATGTGATCAGAAGCGGGTCAAAATAGTAGTATGGAAATAGAAACGGGAAAGTCTATTTTGTACTATATATAGTCTTACACAGGCCTTGCATCAGAAGTCCTACTTACAATTCGCTTGGCTCCATTCTCAAGATATGTCAACCAACGTCCTTCAAGAACTGCATAGGACAGACTAAAGGTTTTAACAAACTCGTCGTCATTTGGGTTTCCTTGTATGGCGATAGACTTGATCATGGTGACGAG